ACAAAATGGTGGACGAAATTACGTCAGTGAAAACACCCTATACTATAGCCGCTAAATATCTCTACGCGAGCATGATTTGTTTTCAAAGGGGCACCCGCCTCTCGGTGCTTCTTTGAGTTATAGATACGTCACGGTCAAAACGTTCCGCAGCTAATGAGTGAAGGCCGACCAACCTATTTTGTCCAAATGTCCGTGTATGGGAGATGAGAATGCCACTGCGTCAAAGACAAGACGTGTGCGAGCGTTGCTAAAAATAGAGACCACTATCGATGTTTTAGTATACATGGTTTCATTCTTAGTCAGAGCGCAAACAGAGGTTAGATGTCACGAAAACACATACACAAAGACAAAAAGCACTTTATCACGGCGCATTGTATGAGTTGTTATATTAGTGGGTGGAATCACCCAAACAAAGATAGTGAACGCCGTGGCGTTTAGGTGTTGAGCTGTTGGTGATGCTTGATCGGCGCAATGTGTCAGTCGAGCTCCAACTGAGGGTGATATGAGGCGGGGCTGCTCTGTGGTTTTACTTGTTGTTTATTCTGGTGTCTTTCGTTTTTGCGCGAAATATTGCGGATCACAACAGCTAGGCATCTTCGTCCGATGAAGCTCTGTTTTATTGATTGGCGTTTCATCGAATAGTGGACATTTCATCGAACACCGCTTCATTGAACGCCAACTCATCAAGTAGCTTGATCGAATTATGTTTCTGCTATCAAATTATTGCAGATATAATAACTACGCTCGTCATATTTTGTAAATAACGGTAGCCTTTAGCGAAAATTGTGTTGCATAGTTAGTTTCGGCCGTCAGCAAATAGTGAAAAATATCTATCTACCTATCTCTCTTTCTCTCTCTCTCTCTCTATATATATATATATATATATACAAAGGCAAAAATGCGTACAGTCAGAGTTACTAATTCGAAGTTTACTACGACGTTTCGAGCGGGGACCACTCTTCATCACCTAATGAAGAACGGTTACCGCTTTGAGACTGTTGCGCTTATCCCGCTCTTATTTATTTATTTTTTGTTTCTCTTGTTTCTGGCCTTTTTAGTATAGGCTTCCACCAGCTCGCTTGCGCGTGAACTCTAATTTCAAGTGAAACAAGTTTGTAAATTAGGGCGACATTATATAGGTTTGAAATCCTATACCAAGTTTATTGCCATTTGGTGAGCCACGTACGAATTTTGAAATATACCTTTTCATCCAAATAATCGATTAGTAAATCGAATAGCGATTCGGACGAATTTACTACGACGGCAAGAACGAATTTTCAAATCTCATGGCAATTAGGAAATTTCAGCCATCCTTAGTTTCTGATTGGTCGCGCTCAGTAGCGGCTCCCTCCCCACAGAGTAGCCTCGAGTCAGAATTCGCGGAGTCTTCTCTACTGACCGGCCAAAAAAGTGCGGCGCTTCAACTGCTCCCGCCCAGACGACTTGATGTATTTGTATACGCCCATGACATCGGCCGCGATCTTCGATTGAGGTTCCGTTAGCCGACGCAAGCGTCAGCGGATGTCTCATATTTCTATACTCTCATTTAACTACAGAAACAAAAACAACAAAAAAATCATCCAGTTCATGCTCACTATGTTCACCACTGACAAGATAGTCGGTAGTCGACGAGTTTCCGTGCAAAGCCGATCAAAACGAGGCACCAATCAACTTTTACGGCTGCCATCAGGAAAGATCTGGCTTGTCGCGTTCCCTCAACGTCACTCCGAATATTGTTTGTGCCCCGCGCACCATCCTCTTGTAGCAATATTTTTATTGTCCCCATGTGATTTCTTTTTTATGTTCTTACTGGTGTTTGATCATAATTCGGTCATTGAAATAGTTTTTGCTGCCAACCCTACCATTATTTTGACCCTCTGGCAGCAAAGGAATATTATGCCGGCATTACACACGAAATAAGAATGTAGACACTCCGTCCCATATCTCAAATTACATCACAATGTGTTTACACAACTGTAGTGCAGGGGTACGATGAGCAGGGTCTGAGAAAATATTAGTTTCAGTATTTTCAAAAGAGCGACGAAACAAAATAAAGAAAGGACCGCCAATCGGCAGCGCGTGCAAGCAGAGGCAGTAGTGACAGGAAGCGCGAGGTGTGTCTTTCGTACGGCCGGCATCAACTCGCGCACTGTCCAAAGATGTACTTTGTTTTACTCGTAGGATTGCAACGCTGCGGAATGTAGGCGTGTGATTTCAGAAAGCGCGTCCTACCATTTCTACGCGCGAGTGCTCCTGCAACCCAAGCATTGTATACAGTTACGTCCTCGCACCCGTGCCTTGGCCAGCCCCGTACACAACTTATGCAGTATCGAAAAGGCATAGTTCAAAATTGACGGTCCCACTTTTCCATACCGCTTCAAAACCACATCTCGCTCAAATCACTTGGCAGCCGGACAATTTTGGCAGGGGGCCTCAAGTTGGGGATTATCCGGTACATTGTCCTCCCAACAATGAACGTGGGCGCGACGCGCCAGAGGGTGAACACGTGAAAGGAGGGGCGTAAGAGTGGAGAAGGAAACTCAAGGTCGCAAGCGACGGGAAAAAGGGTTTCGAAATTGGCGCGCAGGTTTTGCAGCATTTGCTCATACGGACAGCCAACGCCGCCCTGGTGGTTCAACTAATGTTTTGTTCAAGATGGCCGCCGTGGTACCGCAGCCTTAATTCTTTGTGTAGTTATTCATAGATAAGGGCTCTGAAGAATAAAAAAAAAAAAAAAAAAAAAAAGATTCTCTTCAGATTTTTTTTTTTTTTTTTTTTTTAGAGATTTTTTGTTTTTTTGGGGGGGGCTTAGTTTGTGGAGTTTCAGTTGTCAAGCTAAGAGACAGGTGCTGCAGTCCTGACATGTTTTTCCTGAGGTCGTTCATCGTCTGCAGAACGAGGGTTTTCAGGTTGATGGCAGTCGTTACCTGAAGGAGGTTATCGTTACCTCCCAAAATCGAATAGGCTTCATCAGGATCCCAAGTCCATTAGGTAGAGATTTTTTGCTGTATGATTTATGCGAGGATTCCTCAAAGGAGAAGGCTGCTGTAAAGGCCTTCAGTTGGGTTCACCTCGTCACCTTGAGAAAAAAAAAAAAGCAAGTTTATATATAGTTTTAATCTGCTCAAAGTTATTCTTTCAAGATTTTATCGTTGGGGGAAAAAAGGCTATGCTTTTTGCGTTCGAAACGTGTATGTCTTGGTAAACCACCAAATAGCTGATTTTACCATGAAAAAAAGGCAATTCGTGATGCTCCCCAAAAAGTCAAACTTTCTGAAATGCACATTTCAGAAAGTTTGGCTTTTTGGGGAGCATCACGAATTGCCTTTTTTTCATGGTAAAATCAGCTATTCGGTGGTTTACCAAGACATACACGTTTCGAACGCAAAAAGCATAGCCTTTTTTCCCCTGTGTGATGGCGTTTCTATGGCCAGCGTGCTGCGAGATTGTATTTGTCCATTTGGTGATGACTTGATAACTAGATTTAACAAAAAAAAAAAAATTATTATATACCAATTTAATTGAGGACAAATTGGCATGAAAGCGGCCACATTCCGAGGCAGACCAACAGCGGCGAACTTGATAGACAATCTTCGCAGATGTCTGAGAAGGTGCAAAGTATTTCAAGTGCTTTGTCATTACAGCATGTAGCATGTAAACTGACGCTTTAGACCCACTTTAGAGGGCCCACAAAGATTGGTTTCTCGTTGTGTCGCACTGCGATTTACTGCAGAGGTGTGACTAGGTGGTGGAAACTAGGTGTGAACACATCAACAAATAAACTTACCTCAGGAAAAACAAAAACACCTGTTTTGTTGCAGACGACATCGTGACCGTGCTTTCCTAGTTGTGCTATGTGCTGCTGACAGATGGCACAGCCCAGGTCCCCGCCCCACGTACGGGCCGAGTCCCCCTGCGTCCGCTGCGTGCACAAGAGTATGCGGCGCCTCAGCTGATCACCTTCGTACCGGAGCCATGTGGGATTTAAATCTCCTTTTTTTTTATTCAGTTTTTTTTTTTCTCATTAATAAATTATCACACTTTTAGAATTCCACGTTAGAGAGACGTGTGCTGGCACAGTGAAAAGTCTAGAAAGATTGTCTCCAAGCTTGGCGTTGGCGCGCCCTCGATGCTTCCGACAAGGGCGGCGCATACAACTAGGCAAACACGGTCACGACATCGTCTGTGACTGCCACCCCAAGAACCAAAAACAGGCTTTCCTTTTTTTTTTTCTTTTTGAACGAGGTAATATTATTTGTCAGTATATTCAATCCAAGCTTCGACTACCTATAGTCGGTTATAAGTCGAAGGTAGGAGAAGCTCCTCCCACAAGCGTGATGCGCCCGTTTCAAATCTCTCTGCAGTCGAAAGAAGAGTTCATTGGAAACACCCCTTGTTCCGCTTCAATGGTTCCAACTTATCTCCGATCCCACTTTTTGAGAAAGCGATCTTTGTATTCATTGGAGGGGGAACGGAGCCCTGAAAGCAGCCCTTGTATGCATAGGAGGGGGAAGCTAATCCACAAAAGTCGTATTTGTTTCCATCGGAGGGGGAAAAACTTTAATCTCCCTCTCGTGGCTTCCACAATGCAAAGTCAACGTTGAAAGATAAAGCAAATATGTGCAGAAAGGCAAGACCCTCCTCGCGCGTTGGCCGCAATGTCATGGAAACGGTGGGACGCTATTGGATTTGGAGGTGGTGGAGGGTATATGATTCCCTTTGAGGGGCATTTGTCTCTACCTTCTTAACTTGTAACCGACTATAGCTGCTCCTCCATACTTAATCGCAGCGCGATACGTTGAGAAACCAATTTTTCTGCACTGTCTGAAGTGGGTTCGAAGCGTTAGTGCACATGCGGTATGTCTCCTTTGGCAGCTGCCTGAGAGAGGGCACAGTGTTCTTATACTACGGTTAATTCTTACAGCGAAAATGGCGTAGGCGTGTTCTCCGAGGTGGCGTGGCCACGTAACGACGCGAGACGCTTTTTCATGCCCCCGCAGGACATGACTCGCGAGCAGGTGCTGGAGGAGAAGCTTGCCATCCAGAAAGCCCTGCTACGCTTCGAGAGCCTGCACGGGCGCCCGTCCCGCCGAGCGGACCGCAACCTGATGCGTCCCTTGTACGACCGCTACCGCAACGTCAAGCGCCTGGTGGGCAGGGCACCCCCGCTGGCCAAGGGCAAGGACTCGGAGCTGCAGCCCATCCTCGAGCACGTGGCCATGAACTTCACCTCCCCGCAGCCCAGGTCCCCGCCCCAGGTATGGGCCGCATTCCTCCGCATTAGTCGCGTTCACGGTGGGAGCCGCAAGTTGCGTCCCCTCGGCGAACTTCTCTCTCTTTTGTCCGGCGAAATTCGGAATGTTGGTACAGTGTCTGGTACGCGTGTTCCACTGGTATAGCGCCTACACGTCTGAAGAGTTCCTGGGAACTTTCGCACCTTTCAGAAGGTTTTGCACTGCAATATTCCGCCGTCGAAAGGTGTCACCAGAGCTGCCAACTAGTGCTCGTGGCTTTCGAAGGCTGCTAAGTGGAGTGAAGGCTTCTTCTGGCTCGTTCTGCTAGTCGAATTGAAAAAACAAAAATAAGAATATTGTTTCTTTTTCTGAAATGAACACCGGGCAAGCGCAGAAAGGGCAGCCAGAGAAAGCAGGGCCGTCCGGCGGCATCTGGCAAAGTTACAATCCGTGGGACTTTGCTGGATGCAGTGCGATTCATTCGTGTTTGGTTTTCTCCCGTGTACCCGCGTAGGGCTCGGGTTGCAGTACCATGGCTCGGGATTTTACCAGATCTTTGAGTGATTTGCTCGACGTTTTGTGTTGGTTCTGGCTGTGGGGCTGGGACCTTTTTCAATTCTGGGATGCATTGTTCTTGGGTGCAGGAGCTGGAAGAAGGCCTGGAACTGATGCCCTCCATGTCTGCCATCAAAGAGAATCTCCAGGAAGCCCCAGAGGACGACTGTGTGGCTGACAAGGCCGAACTGGTGGAACAGGCTTCCGGAGTCCTGGAGAAGTACAATGATTCCAACCTCCACGAGCTGCCCTTGTGAGTGCTTTTCTTCTTGCGACTTTGCTCTTTCAATTTGTTTTGCGCTATGCAGCAGTAAGGTCCCTTGAGCTTGCCGATTATCTTGGATCGCTCCTTTTACCATGTGAAAAGCGCTTAGGAGCAATATTGCTGAACTGTGCAATTGATGCATGACTTTGCAACAAATTTTACCCCATTTGTCCCTTATGTGCATTGCAGTTAGCTGAGCTTATAAGTTTCAGAATTGCACTGTTGTAAGGATGTGTGGAGGAGGAATTGGTTCCTCGGGGTTAGGTCCCCATGCTAGATAAAATCAAAGTGGATTTTACTATTGAAGGTTGCAGCTATTTCGCTTGTTCGGTTTTGTGGTTGAGTATTGAGTATTAGAAGTAATAAGCTGTCTCAAAAGATATCTCCCGTGCTGCTGGACTCGGGATTTCATACTCTCTTCTTTTTTTACTTGTGCAGGGATGAACTTCTTCAACAGCAGCAGCAAACAAAGCTTGAAAAGCGACGTCTACGAAGGCTACTTCGGGAGTTTGAGGAAGACTTCCAGAAGCAAACTGGAAGGTAAATGTCCCTTGGTGCTCGATCGACCCGGTACATTTGACAATGGGAACAGTTGCGGCATTTTTGTTACAACAGGGGACGGTGTTGCAATTTAGGGTATGTGAGAGAATGCTAACTAGACACCCTTCTTTCTTGTAGGAAAGTGCAGAAAGAAGACAAGGCCCCAATGGATTCTGTGTATTGTGAGTATAAGGTAAGAGCAAGTTTATGTCTGCTGTCAGCAGAGAAATATAGTAATCCCTCGTTATAATGAAGTCAGTGGGGCAACAAAAATATTTGATATGAGCGAAATTTCGATAAGAGCGATAGAGCCAAAAAAAACGGTGCTAGCAACCTTGAAGGTGGAGGGGAACACTGCTGAACACTTTGACCGAATATTTAATCGAACAAACCTTGGTTAGAGCCAAAAAAAACGGTGCTAGCAACCTTGAAGGTGGACGGGAACACTGCGGAACACTCTGACCGAATATTTAATCAAACAAACCTCGGTTATGATCATCTCGCGGCTGCTTTATTGTGGAAAAATTAATTAAGTGGAGTTTGTTGATAATTTCATCCGGGCATTACCGTATTTACTCGCATAATCCTCGCACTTTTTTTTGCGGAAAATCGATGGAAAGCTGGGGGTGCGAGAATTACGCGGGGAAAATTTTTTCCCGAAAACGTAGAGCTCTAAAAAAATAAAAATAAAAAACCGAAGCGCCAGCAAATTGGGGTTTTCGCGCCGGCAGCTACCTAAAAGTTTTTAGAAGTAGCAATACAGGGCTTACCTTAGCAATAAAACCACAGGTTTAAGACAAAGTAAGATTTAATTTGGAAACACTCGAGCCTCAGTCCGAATCAGTGGTAGCATCGCTGGTCGTTGTCTCGTCGTCACCTCCCGATTTCTCGTCGGCTTCGGACGCCTCGTCTTCTTCCCACACCAAGTGGTCTTCAGTAGCATCCAAGGCATTTGATATGCCAGTCTTTTTGAAGCTCTTGACGACGATGTCTGCTCCGATCATCCCCCACGCTTCCGCTATCCAGCTGCACAGCTGCTCCACCGATGGTCTCTTTATCTTGCCGGCCGGCGTCAGATCGTGTTGGCCTTCGGCCATCCACTCTGCATACAACCTTCGAACATTATCTTTGAATGGTTTGTTCAAAGACACGTCCAAAGGCTGCAGCACGGACGTTAGGCCACCTGGAATGACAGCCAGGTCTGTGCGCAGTTCCTTCAACTTTGTGCGAACCGGTTCCACAAGATGGCCCCGAAAGCTATCGAGAACGAGGAGCGACGGAAAAAGAAGTGCTCCCGGTCGCCGCCCCCACACAGTCTTAAGCCAGTCGACCATGAGGTCAGCACTCATCCAGCCTTTTTCTTGCACCCGTACGTGCACACCAGGGGGAAACTTTCCTTTGGGGAGAGTCTTTCGTTTGAAGATGATGTACGGTGGCAGCTTCCGACCGTCCGCCGTCACAGCTAGCATTACCGTGCATCGCTGCTTCTCCGCGCCAGACGTGCGTACGTGGACGGTGCGTGCGCCTTTCTGCTCCAAAGTAGTGCTGCTGGGCATGTCGAAATTGATAGGCGTTTGGTCCGCGTTCCCAATCTGCGACAGCAAAAAATTGTTCTGCTGCCGAATCCCAATGACGAACCGGTGGAAGTCCACGATCTTATCCTCGTAGGCTTCGGGCAGGCGTTGGCAAAGCGTTGTACGCCTCCTCAAAGAGAGACCATTGCGCCGCATGAAACGCGTGGCCCACCCGTTACTGGCGCGGAAGTCTTGTGCCGGGGCGCCTTCCTTTCTGGCAATTGCGCGCGCCTTGTTGCACAAAAGCTCAATGGACACGGCGCACCCATCGGAGCGTAGAGCCTTGACGTAGTCCATGAGCAGCGTCTCAATTCGGGGAAACTTGCCAGTCTTTGGACCACGGAAAGCCCGGCGTGTCCTGTTGGTCGCCTGCAGCTCCCCGTGCTGCCGCCTCCAGTAGCGCACGTTGAACTCGTTGACGCCGAAGTGTCTGCTTGCGGCGCGGTTGCCGTGCTCAATAGCGTAGTTTATCGCTTTCAGCTTGAAAGCAGCCGTGTAGTTGGCGTATCGCCCCATGGCGAAGTGGCAACCAGCACCGAACAAAGAGGTTGGCTCAAAGCGTTCGACCTGGTTCGACGTTCGACCAGTTCGACAACTGATTGCGACGCGACGACCGGGGGCTGCGCTAACGCCGTCTACCGTTGCGGTCGCGAGACCGGCTCAACGACAGTATGACTAGAGTCTGACAGATGGCGCTAGGACTGCTAGCACTCTGGCCATACGGAGCGGCGTGGTGCCGGAAAATGCGGGCGGTGGAGAGTGCGTGCACCATATGCGGGTTTCACGAGCAGGCGACTTTCGCCGCTGCAGTTTTGGGGGTGCGAGGATTACGCGAGGAAAAGAAAAATTCTATTTTTGGTGGCCCACATTAGGGGTGCGAGGATTACGCGAGTGCGAGGATTACGCGAGTAAATACGGTAGTTCTCCTTGAACTGCTCCAAACATCACAAGAACACAGTCACCGCCGCTGCACTCCGCTTTTTTTTCGAAGCAGCCATAGGATGTTTCGCGTCTCTACAGTCGTCGGCTTTTCCCGCGGGCCTCTCCAACGTCGCTTCGTGCTCACCCTGGCCGCACACAAAGTCTACTATCGCAGCATCCGTGGCAGGAGCAACAACAGGAATGTTTGCATCGAAAAGCGCGAACGAATCGAAAGTTACACTAGGTGGCTTTGCCAACATGTTTTCACACAATCCTGTAGAGATCGTTGCAGCTAGGGAAATTGTGCACCGGCTCGGCAAGCATTCTCGCGAGAGAAAAATTCACCATGCAAGCAGTTGGCGATTTTCATCTTCAGGTTGCGGGCACGCTTTCTCTTGCATGAGAAACTTCTTGAACCCGTCCAATATGCCTTGCTTGTTCTGCAAAATGGTGGACAGTGTCGAACAGCGATGCTGGATTGTCGAATTCTTTGGTGATTTTGGACTTGGGCCGGCCACTTTTCTCAACCTCGCAGATCTAAGCGACTGTCGGTAAACACTCCCAATCTCCCATATGACACACGTGTGCATGTAATACGCTGCAGGCGCGCCCGCGCAAGCGCGCTTTAGGGGCCCCTGAAGGGATGATCTCTTCCAAACTCCATGGCTCCCTTGACCTTATTCCGAGAGGAGTTGGGTAGTGTCAGCGGCAGGCGCCGTGAGTAGTGTTGGAACTTCCCTACTGCTCCCGCTGGTCCCTGCCCGCGTCGGCGAATCGGCATCGGAAGCTGCGCTCTGCCAGCTCTGCACGCTCTGCCCTCAGTCACTCGTTTACTCCGTTTTTCCAGTTTGTTGGTTTCCTCGGTGGAGAAGGGGGAGAGAACTCTAGAGTCTCCGTGCGCCTCTGTGTTGGCTTGCGTGCTTTCGACACCACGGCCTTCATATTGAGCTTGGTAGGCCGCCAATACACTTAGAACAATCGTGTTAAAAATTAGTGCATTTCGGTCAAGATCACGTTGAAGTTCGATAGAAGCGATAATTTGAAAAAAGCAATTTCTTTATAACGAGGGATTAGTGTACTATACTTTATATTACCTGCCCCTCCATATAATCTGCCCCCTTGCCGTAAGGCTGCGAGAGAGAAAACTGGCGAAGTTACCAATAAGCAGAGTAGGCGACTGCCGAAAGTGGCAGAAGTGGGAGAGTATGATTGTGTAAGCGCTGAGTTATACCACATATGCGGGCCGGGGTGCAAATAGAGCTTTAGCTTTCTTTTACGATGTTACGACCTTCAGTGAAGCTGTTGTGTTTTAGGCTTCTGTGACAATTTTAATTCAGGCTAATGTGGACACAAGCTTTTTACTTGATCAATATAGTATTTGCGGCATGACATGTACCAACCTGCAGTCTTAGTTAGCGCAAGTAGGATGCTCATAAAAGTGTAACCGCGCCAAGCATTAACACAGTTGTTTTGGTTTCCAGCATGTCAAGGCCCGTATGCGACTGCTGGAAGCCCTAGTCTCCAAGCACGAACACCGTCGCGACATCTGAAGCATCCAAACACCCTCACTTTTTTCTCGCCTCGGTCTGGGACCAGCAGCGCCACCTCTTGGAGGCTTGTGGACACCCCGCAAAAGGCGTGCGAGGTTGGCAGAACGCCACCCCTTCGAGCAAGAGGGGGCCATTTCCCTCCTCAAGTTCAGGAGGAGGAACTTTCACCTTGCGGACTTTCTACCTGTGGCGGAACCAAACTCACGGGCGCAACTCATTACCGCTCCATCCCCCACCAAAAGAAAAGATCTTTGGGCAGTCGTTCATCCTTCTTTCTCATACCATGGTCCATTTTACCGACCCTATGCCATTAAACCATTTGAACCACGACTGCCCTTCTCCTCTGTAACGGACTGGACTAAGGAGACATGACTTTGGGGTTTATTTTCACCACTGCTGCATTTGCATTTTAGTTTGCCTTGCAGTTTGCGGGCATGCAAAGACAAGTTATGAGTTCTAATAGACCCGACTGGGTTCAACTTGTTTTTGTTTGTTCATGTTCTTGTGATACTACAAAGACGTTCTGTGGCATTGCTGTTAGCTCCGTTCCTTTTTGTCTCTATGCATGTTCCCGAGTGCACACGGTATGAACGAATGATATTTTATATTGTACTATCTTTCCTCGCTTGAGTGAGTCTAGTGGAGGAACCAGGCTATGGCAATGTTTCCGGTTGGGGGGCCCCTGAAGTATGTTCCGGTTCATGTTTGGGTTCAGGTTGCGTGCTGTGACTCGTGCTTCTGCGGCGGCCTTGGCCGCCACTGGTCGAGGCTGCCTGGGACGAAGGTTGATTGAGTGCCTTGATCGGTGACGACGGGGAAAGTGCTTGATTCAGAGTGGCTGTCCTGAGGAACTATGGCCCTGGTTTCTGGTTTCTGATTTTTTTTTTTTTTTTTTAGGATTTAGTATTGTACCTGAAACATTTGCGTGTTTGTCGTCAGCATATTGTTTTGCGTGTGTTCTTGAGGCATGGTAAGACAACCGTGCCGTTTTGGTAGGATGTGTGTGTGTGTGCCTACATCTATGGTAACATTTACCATGCTGTACTTGTGGCTGGTTTTAGTGTAAGTTTTAGCATTGGTTATTCACCCTCATAGGCGTGCTGTGATGCTGAGCCCTTTGAATTCGGCCGGCAATTCCAGTGGCAGTGTTGATGGCTAGTTCATGGACAGTTTTATGGACACACTTTGCTTTGTAGCAAATGATGTGTACACATGAAAGACTTGGAACAAAGTTTTGAGTGTGGTGTGCAGTGTAAAGATATGCATACACATTATATAAATATATATATATATATTATATACATACATATATAGAAAGAAAGTGTGGACAGTTTATTGCTTGAGATAAACGTGCATGGCAGTATTATGAGCAAGAAATGTGTGTGTGTGAATCAAGAAAATACTATTTATAGCAGTGGATGTGATGGTGTGCCCATTAAAAAGTTTCTATAGAGTTCCTGAGGGTGTCTGATTTGTCTGCACACTTTGGAAGCATGGCTGCTTTGATGAAGAAGACGTGGATGCTTCAGAGAGACAAAGTGGAAGGTGTTCTCGTCCGCCGACCGGTGTTTGGCCACTGTGGAGCGGCAGAGCGGCCATATGTCATGCACGATTGATGGCAATATATCAGTGCTTTGCTGCAGTGTAAGACTGGTGGCATAACAAGTTTAATGTTCTGTTATGTTTATACCTGTCTGGTAAATATATCCTATAAATATGTAGTGCATTAATAGGCAGTGGGTACTATGTGAAAGTTTCATATAGATATATTTTTAGTCCTATCTTTGGTAAGAGTTTATGCAATGGTTTCCTCAGCCCTCGTTGAGCTTTTTTTTGTATAATGAGAAATGTGTGTTATTTGTTGCAAAACTACATACTTTTTGATAATACATGAGATGTACAGAGGTAGTTGCACTAAAGAGGTGATTGAAATATGTTCATTACAGTTCTAGAAGGGCTGACGTTTATTGAAGCCGCAGCTCTCTGTCACAAGGAGGAAAAGCGAGGATTGCGTTGCCCCTGCGGAGCCGTGAAAACAGTATCCCTTTCAAATTCTGACGTGTGCCAAGCATTGATTCTTTTACGCAACTAATTGGGAAAAGATGACGTTTGTGTTGTAACATGCGTTGAGTTGCATGCTCGTGTCCCCAAAAAGGTTCTCGATTTTCCCTTGCTGTTTGCATGATGTCGGCACAATATTCATCTATTTACTTGTACTTGAAGTCACTGGTATTATAAATTTCACTACTGCATAGCCTGTGGGCCCTATGTTTAGGATCTATGGAAGTTAATACTTTGATCTACGTACTATCATATTTTGAACTTTGGGATACTGTGGCAGTTATTGCACGGCGCCAGAACTGCAATGCCGGGAGCATTGGCTATGCGACATTTGTTAGAGACTTTGGGAGGACTTGTCAGTTTGTTTTTGCACCCCCTTATGCCTACAGGGCCGTAGCGGCGGCCTGGCCTATCTTTGTCTTTTTTGATAACTAATTTTACTCTACATTGTTTGCCGAGTAAATGTAATTTGTACAGAGACCCTAATATTGTAACTGCTTTACATGGGGATCCAACCAGACTTGCTTTCTGCTACGTGTTTTTGTGTCAGCCAGAAGGCATGTGACACTAAAAGGTCGACACATTAAACATTTGTGTGGCTGAACATTTGACTCGTGTTTGTAGACACCACAATGTTTCATACACATTTCTAACAAAACAAAAACTATTCTAGGATGTTCGTGACACTACTTAACGTTGCTTGCATCATGGATATGAGATAAGGGTAGAACTAATGAAATGTAAAGACGATAATATGCGCAGCATTGTTTACTTTAGTGCTTCCGTTGAGTTCGACAAAGCATAGTTGTTGGGTGATGCATGGATGGGTGATTTTAACCCGATCGCCAGAAGGAACTGTAGTTGTCCCAGATTGTATATACAAACGTATCAGTGGGGAAACTGCTGCGCCATCCTGCGCCAGAACGAATAACCTGCAGCATGCTGCTCCAAAGGCTGCATTTCTGACCAATTTGCGCCATGTCTGCTCCAAAAGGAAGCTGCTGTCGAGAAAGAAACAGTGTCTGGCGCGCGGCATTGTTGGCGATTCCACTAAAAATGAAGAAAGTATGCTGCTTCTTTTTTTTTTTTTTTTTTTTTCCCGATGTTTAAGTTTTATGTGCGAAGAGTAGGGTTGCGCGAATATTCGAATAGTAGTTTCAAATAATGCGCCATTTGATATTCGCTTCAAAGTCAACTGCGATATTCGTACTCTTCGAAGTGTTGATCGCGGCGGGGTAGCCCCCTTGAGTGTGCTTCTCCTCAAGCACTAGTGCTCTGCGGAGAAGCAATACTCGCGGAGCTGACACCCCGCGATCTCGCGACTCGCAGCGCAGCCGCGCGCTAAGGCGAAAAAGGCATCTTCAAAAAGGTAAGGTGCACGCGCACACGTAAAAAAAAAAAAGAAGTAAGTTTGAGCAAGGAATGTTGTGATTGTTGATATTTACATTGCAGTAAAATCGCCAAAATTTAGCCGACTACTATGCTAGGGTATTGGGCAGGAGATTTATCGAGCTTGTCCTCACAGCCCGGTGTTTACCGTTGTTGTCTCCCTTTCCAGTCTTCGGGTTTAAACATCATGATAGATTTCTTCTAGGTTATAACAAATTTTTGTATATTGAAGAAGGTTTTGTACATAAAGTTAGAAACACAGTGGCAGAAGAGAGATGTCTGAACGGCGTCGGCTCGCCACGGAGCAAGTGGGTCGAAGGTTGCTCCCATTTCTGTCAAACGCCGTGAGATGGGAGGGAGCTCGTAATAGCTTTAGGGTCCTTTCCTATTTCGCGCACACGGTTTCAAGGCCGCGAGGCGCGTGACGCGACCGCTCCTGCGTGCCGATCCCGAACCCGAGAATGCACCGCCGCGAGATGCGCGAAGCCCGAGTAAAATTTCAACCCTATTTCTGGTTTTGTTCCGAGTACTAACAGAATGCCATATTTGAGGGCGATGTTTAGAGCGGATGTTCAGAACGAGTTGGCATTAACCTGCTGTCGTGACCAAGCGGTTGTCCGAAACTTGGAGCACGGCAGGGAGCCGATCCTGATATATATATCGAAACGTTAGTGGCGCCCTCTTAGTGGCGGTTTGCCCTCGTGAATAAAAAGTCAGGCCTAGCTGTGTGGGACACACACATGTTGGCGGCTCGTCTGAATCCATGGGTCTGGGTCTGATTCAATCGATGACAATCAATATATAACAGATCCCAGGAAGCAGGAACCGGGAAGGACCAGGGAGCAGGAGGTGTGTCTCGTAAAACTCTTTATTTACATATCGATAGGTTCAACTTGAGAGCACGCTCTAGAAGCCGACTGCTGCTCCTTTTATAGCGTCGCATTTCCCTATATTACCTGCAGGGAATCCCCATGGTCAATGCCTCAACCAAAACGGTGGAGCCATTGTTCCTAACGGCAAGACACGCCCTTCTCCTCTCCCTCACACATCGCCGCTCGCGTCACGCACAACGATGGGCCAGACGCCCTTGGTCACGGTGTCGCCAGTCAATCTCGGGTGGCCAACGGCGCCATTTAAGTCTGGACTGGAAGACTGAAATCTGGATGGAACACGAGAGATAATTCTCCCTAAGTGCAGGCGTCTCGGCTGCAGATGCCCTCCAAGCTCAACAACTTTGTGTAACTACAATTTCTTCCTCCCTCTCATTTGTATATTCATCTTCATCATTTCACCTGTTAATACACAGCCGAGGAGGCAACCAGCACTTGATTGTACGGGCGTCTGCCTTTTGGCTGCCTCAGGCACTCGGCTGTGTGAAAGTTGTGCCAATAAACACCTTGAACCAATTGAACTTCACTTGATCGAATGACATTTTAACGAACGCCGACGTTTCACCGAATGACACCTAAGTGAATAGTCGGCCGCCGCGAAGCGGCGTTTACGGGTGAGCCAAGTGGCTTCACATTTTTTTTATCATTTGGGATCCTTTCACGATTAACACTAGTAAACGTGATCGAGTACAAAAGAAAAAAAAAAGGCCGCTCGCTTTATTTATAACTTTGGGCGTACTTCCGTCACCGAACTTTTAACCAGAGCTAATTTACTGCCCTTATCTGAAAGAAATCGGCATTCCCGACTAAAATTTTTGTACCAGTTAATTAATGGCTATTATAAGATAGACCTCTCCGAATTGATCAATTTCCCATCAAAATATGCTACTCGACAAAGGCATGCTCTAACAATAACTCCTTTTCAATCGCGTAATAATTGCTTCAAGTACTCCCTTTTTCCACGAGCAATAACCAAATGGAATGACCTCGCTGAGAGAATTGTTATGCAGCCATCATTGTCATTATTCGCATCTTATTCAATTTAGTTCCTTTGGTAATGTATTTGTTCATGTGTAATTTAAATTGCTTTCATTTTTGTTCAAGTGCACTGTAACTTGCTTCCCTTTTTCTTGCTCTTTTTGCCATAATGTTGTATTCTTTTATTATTGTACTCACCTGCGAGAATCCCATCGAAAAATTGTAGTATTAATAAATTAAAAAAAAAAAAAAATTCAAGACCCACTACAGCCGGTGTACTGGCTTCTTTTGTAGCTCGATCCCGTCGACAGGGGCGCCCTGGCTAGGCCCGTGGCGCTGCTATGGTGCCTGGATCGCGTCTTCGACTGGTGTATTTAGCGTCCTATCCCGCCCATACATCAAAAGTGGTCCCGAAGTGGCAACAGATGACGTCACAGAAGCCGGAGTGTCATGCTGTTGCCTGTCGCGATCCTGGCGGTTGGCCGTAGAAATGCTGGCGAAAAGCACGAGCAAACGCGAGTGTCGCTGTCGTCACGGCATCCCAGGCGTCCCAACTTCCGGCTGCTCTAACCTCCGTGACCTGTCGCAGTGGAGAGCGACCTGCAACAGAACAGGCGTCTGCCATTTATACCACAACTATTGGGACGCCGCCAGGGTCGCGACCGGCGACAGCATGACACTTCTATGACGTCATCAGGCGGAAATCGAGGAACCACTTTTTTGGCCGCGGTAAACACACCAGTGGGAGACGCGTTCCAGGCACCATAGCGCTGCAGATGGCGATGCACGTGACGAAACGTTGAACGCCACCTAGCGTAGGTCTAAAAAGACAAACATATGATTCCTCCCGGCCTTCTTAGCCAATTTTCTCCCCCTATCACCAGGCAGTGTGGGATAGCACCAAAATGACTTTCAGGCCAAGATCCGAGCAGCTGGGCGGACCTCTGTAGAACCAAGCGTCAGAGGCCGGACTCTGTCACCTCCACCTCTCGTGGTCAAGGCGCCGACCTGCCTGATGTCGACTGGACTACGTGAGGCACAGAGGACAACTCCAGCAACCGGGCACATCGACATCCCCGGGAATCAGACGTTTCAGGCTCCCAACAACTATCTCCGAACCCATCAACGAGGAGCCCACCACCACTCTTTTTCGGCGGTCCAGTAAAACGCCATATACAAGACTGACGACGCTACCCATCAACAGGACAAAAGAGTGAGAAAGACAACTCCCAGAATGACATTCTTTAAAATAACCGCGGTGTAAATATTTGTTTTCTGATCTATATTCAATAGTGGAATATTCTCTAACGGATCCTATGTCTTCCATACTTTTATTATCACCTGAAAACCACGAACCGTGCGTCGCCATCACAGCAGGCTTCTAATAGTGAGTTTTGTTAGAGTTCAAAACACAGATGTAGAACCACTGAATGTTCCCAGAGTATTAAAACGGAGCTTCAGAACCGTTTCGCGACGCTGAAATCGATTGGTGATCGATACTTCAGTTCTAGTGAACGTCATGTAATTCGGTATTTGAAACATTTAGCAACTCTGCGCACCCGAAGAAGGCCTGCAAGTTTTGCAGCCGTCTGAAGTACACGTCATTACTTCAATCATGAGAAATACAGATTACGTCTTGCCACCTTTATTTGTTGATCATCCCGACAGATCTATCGTCGTCCGTTCCGACACCATTGTCGAAGTAGCCACCCAGATAGCCGAAACCGTCGCAGCACCAAGACCTCGAATGCATAAAAGGCCTTGATAACGACGACTCTACTTTCAGAACTGCTCCTTCTTATGATTTCAGAACCGTTCATCATACGGGCTACCCAAGTCCTGTTCTATCAGTAGTGCTTGAACGATCCCGACGTATTTCAGCTTTCCAGGGATTTATGAATTTAATAAAATAAAACGGAAAGAAAGAGATTGGGAGAGATAGAGAGAAAGAGACTATAGATCTAAAGCTGGTGCATCTACCCCCGTCTCACCTCTGTTTGGACTTAGAATCGCAATGCTTATGCTGCAGGTCTCAACCGATCATACGCTGAGAGTACTACGTTGCCCTGCCATGCATGCCAGATTAAACCCAAGGGCCTATGATACTGTGCACCTTCTTTTGCAAGTAACCAATAGGCATGACGCAGGAAATTTTTCGGAACGACCATGGCGTCTTCCAACTTAATTCGCTGCCATAACTCTTCCTTTCTACCCCCTAAAATCTGCAGTATCACGCAATTCAAACCACTTCGTTTTGCCGTGTGTCATATCGCAGCCGACATTACGAGCCGATGTGGCTAATCTAGCTCAGCTTCAACAAAGCAACGTAATGGCTTTCGCCAATCTA